TGATTGCGAGTTCAGTATCTTCACGGGAACATGTAGCAGGGAATTCTTCAATAGAATATCATCAACATCACGAACTAAGGGGAGAATGTTCGTTATCAAACATGTGCGAGACACAGAAAAAGATCACTCCTAGAAGCTCGGACCATTCTGTTGTCGGTTCAGCTTTATTTTCAGGGACGTTTGGAAATTGTAATTTTTATTTTGGAGATAAAGTTTAGTTCACGGGTATTTGTTTTTATTCAGTTGTTTTTTGTGGTTTAACCTTGAAAAATGTCAACGCGAGAGAATAACAATTTTATAAAAATTAACTTAGCGGGCATTAAGAGCGGGCATTATGAGCGGCCATTATAAGCGGGCGTTATACTATAATGCCCGCTAACAATGCCCTGCGGTTGTTATGGATATTATTATATGTTTCATCTCTAAGGTATTATGAGCCAATAATGTATAGGTGAAACATAAAAATTAATGTATTAATGATTCCATTGTTGGCTAAACAAAAGTGCTTGATAGAACTTTGGCCACCCTGTTTTTGCTTCTAATTTGAAATTTAGAGAAAAAAATTAAATACAAAAGTTGTAGATATTAACGTCTAGTTTATTTTAAGATAGTACCAATTGATACAGGGTGTCTCAAATTCAATTCAAATTCAAGTGACAGATCAAACTTATCTTAAAATGGAATTCCGTACTTTTTATTGCATTTTCGAGCTATCCGTAAAATTCTAGGCCTAGTTGATATAAATGTTCTATATTGCTTTTCAACTGTTTTCAAGTTAATAACCAATATTCATTAAACTTAACGAACTGCCCATTAACGGGTGTAGACAATCTAGTCGAACGTTTCTGCATTAAACGGCCTCTGGACGACTCCTTATGGCCCAGACGTTGATTTTTTTCCAAAGAAAAAATAATTTTTCAAGTGTAATGAATTGCTTTGGATCAGTAGAGACCTCCTATCTCAAAATTGGATCGAAGTTTGATCAAATCCAAAATTTTTCCCCAAAACTTTGGATGTTTTCAGAAAATCGTCAATTGTTCGCTTATTATCGATTGTGACCTTGTGACGGCCAATCGACTGAACTGCTTAGATTGAGCTCAGCGCTTTTCGTTACAGATAATTTGCAGTTATTTGGAAACCATATTTTCGATCTTTTCTATGAAAGCTGGAAAATTGCAAAGCACACCGTGCGATAGCGCCCGATGAGCCCGATATCTTATGAAGAATAGCTTTTGCCACAGGACGCTTCGTTTTGGAGAAAAAAAATTAAATGTAAAATTTCGAAAAAATTGCAAAGGTTTCATTCACCAAAATCTTTGGCAATTATTTTTTTTTCGAACGATTCCTTGATGGTTTTTTCGGTTAGATATCGAAAAGTTACGTGACAAATCGGTCTTTGTCACTTTGGTCGGTTAAAAATTTTTTTTATCTGTGAGCTACAGCGGGAAAACGAAAAAGTTTGTGCAAGCCCTTATGGAAAGAAAATTTTCAAAATTGTCAAATGATAATAGAATTGGTTGAAATTGACACCAATTAGTATAGAGACAGATACGACAAAATCAAATCAATCACAAAAATGACAGAAAAACGTAAATTCCTCGCTTATGATCGATCGAGCGAAAAAGTTAATACCAAGTTTTTTATAGAGCTGGAGACGGTCGATCGACGGGGCAGATTGGGTTGAGCTCTTTTGGTTACCGAGATGTTCGCTGTTTTTTGAAAACTATATTTTCGCGATTATCTCGAAAACTGTGAAAGCTGTAAAATTAAAAAGCACACGCGGCGATAGTGCCCTATTAGGCCGAGATTTTATGAAGAATAACTTTTGTCGCTAGGAAGCTCCGTTTTGGAGAAAAAAATTAAAATGTAAAATTTTGAAAAAATTGCCAAGAGTGTTTCAACCATCGCATTTTTTTTGCAAATCCTTTTGATTTATATTTTCCGAACTATTCCTTGACAGGTGGTTAGATATGGAAAAGTCACATGACAAATCAACTTTGGCAGGTTCCTCTGCCCCCTGCTGCTGGTGCCAAAAATGTCCTCTGTGAGCTACAGGGGAAAGACGAAAAAGTTTTAACAGGCTATTACGCAAGGGAAATTTTCAAAATTTAACCAAATTGTCAAATTACATTAGAAAGCTCTGTCAACTCCATGTCAAATCGATTCGGTAAAGTGGAAGAAAAAAAACGCCATTTAACTCCATGTAATCGGTAAATTCTGGTACCGATCAACTGAAATGCTTCCGAAAAATCCGAAAATGATGATGAATGGATTCTAGTTAGACCAAAACATAGCTAACAACTGTAGTTAATCATTTTTGAATGATATAATGAGAAACTATGAGTTTCCGATTTTAGCCAGACCAATGTATCGAAAAAATGTTTTTTCGATTCGGAATTTTTCGAAAAAATAATTGTCGACTTGCCCATGTTTTTATGTAAACAAAAAATTCGAAAAATTCAATGAATAATTCGACTGAGCTGGCAATGATATAGCTCGGTAGACGGATAACGACGCTTTGAATTCAATGAAATCGCTTTCAACAGGATAAAATCGTAATACAGTTGATCTTGAAACTTCGAGTTAAAGTTGGAAATCGATTCTGAGCATCAAAAATTTAGATTAAGTTTGTCATTGGATGTTGTGAAATATATAATCAATATATTAAAAATACAGATTAGCTCGAATATGCAATAAAAAGTACGGCATTCCATTTAAAAAAAGGTAGATTTGCTGTGTAACGTGAATTTGAGACACTCTGTATAAATTAGTACTGTCTACCAATAAACTAGACGTTAAAATCTACAACTTTTGGTGTAATTTTTCTCTAAATTTCAAATTAGATGTTAAAACGGGGTGGCCAAAGTTCAATCAATAACCCTGTACAATCTGATCTCAAGTTATTATTGGACATTTTGAACTGTTGCTCCATTAATTAACCGGCACGCACCTATTTTATAAACCTTGAATGTCTCGTGGAACACCTGGCCTGCGAATAATTCCATGGGAAGAAGTCCATGGGCAGTGAATCTGGTAATCTTGCCGGCCATTCTACAACGCCTCTTCTGACGGCCAATTTGTCAGGAAACCATGGTGCTGTTTTTCATCTAAACGGAAGGTTTCCTTCATCATCCACCTGGTTTCCTAATAATCCATTCCATGATGATCCAATGATGAAGGTAAACATTGGAAGTTGTTCGGAAGGATGTCAGAATATTGGGACAATAGTTTACGGGCGATTTGCGGCTGTGGAGCAAGTATTAAAATACTTACAATATGCGACAAACTAAATTAAATTTAATTTATTTGTTTACTCAAAAAATAAAAAACTTTCGATTATTGAGTAACTATAAATTCGTTTGAAGGCCTTTGTACACTGTATAAGTGGTATAAATTTCAACTCAAAATATTCATAACTTTTTGTTCATTCCTATTAGTTATGTTGTTAAAAAGGCTCGGGCGAGATTCTAAATAAGTTTTTTCTTCTCTGTTGGTTTGTTTTACTCGTAAAGAGTTATTCTACAACGTACAAAAAAGAAAAAGTGGATTACTGACGGGTAAATTGTGACCCAAGCTAACCCAAACCAAACCAAACAAACGCAAACTAGTCCAAGCATTCATAAATTCGACAAATCGCGAAAAAAACTCTATATTGAAACCAAACACTGACCGCACTTTACTAAAGTCCATTGAACAATCCAACCAATTACAAAGTGGCCAACAATGACCATCAGCCTCATTACGAATGACATCTCTAAGGCCCGAATGCGATCAGTGCGTGCCGTTTGCGTGGAAGTTCGGGCGAGCCTTATAATTGCGGTTCGGCAATTATAATTTATCGCACTGTTAATGGGCCATTTGCGGTTAATCATCCACTAGCGAATCGATTAAGCAAACAACTTATTCAATGCCTATTGGCAACATTTAACTGAAAGCAACTAGAAAAGGGTTGATGTCATAGTGAAGGTTGTGTGAAGAAGAAGTGCAAAAAATCG